AGAGAGAGAGAGAGAGAGAGAGAGAGAGAGAGAGAGAGAGAGAGAGAGAGAGAGAGACAGAGACAGAGAACAAAGAAGGAAATGCAAAAAATAAAATACAAAGTACAAAAATTTATTTCACAAATGTATTTTAATACTTAAAAAAAAATATAAAAGAATTTCATATAATATTAATTATTTTCGTCATGTAATAATGGGACAACAACAATATTCGTTATTTCTATATGGCATTGTAAAAAATTTTCGTTTAATTTTAGACAATAACCATACTCTGTTTTCTGATAACGCTAATTGTGAAACGATATAAATGTGTAATAAACTTGATTCGCAAGGGGTAGTATAAAAATTTTGTTTTCGTACAAATTGTTGTCCTATTATTATAAAATCATTCAGCTGTATATGCCACACTATTTTCTGAGCGATTATAATACTACCATCTTCTAAACCGCAACAATTATTAGCACAATCTCTAATTGACAATATGAAATTATTACATACTGCCTTACTGTATAAAGGATTTTTACATCCAGTTGGTACGATATCGTAATATGCAGAAGATTGCACAGGTATTAATTTATCTAAATTAGATTTATTATGCTCCTTGTTAATGTTATAGCGTTTAATTTCTGTATAACGATAAAAAAGTTGTTGTAACGGTCTTTCATTTTTATGAATTAATTTTTTTATATAGTACATAAAATTTTCAAACCTGAATGCACTAAAATTTTCTATACTTCCCAAATATTTAACATCATTCGTTATATGTATAAGTCCATGAACATTATAAGATATTAAATATTTGTCATAAAGAAGACTAAACGAATCCACAAAATGTTCAAGGAGAAACTGAGCATAATTTAAATATTTATGGGAATTCTTGCATGATAAAATTCTAAGTGCAACATGTAATTCTAAAAAGTGTTGATATATATCTTTATGTAATACATCTCGCAACACTACCAATCCTGTGTAAAACAAAAATTGTCGATATTCAGTAGCTTTCCATTATTTTAAAAAAATCAACGAACGTGGTTTACGTTGAAACTCACTTGGGACTGACAATTTTATCTGTAGTAGATTATTAGATATATGTTTAAGTTGATTTTGGCTAAGTTGCCATTTTCGTTTTGTATGGCTACTTCGTACCCATAAATATAATAATTTACGCATTACACCTAAACAAGTCAAATGCATATAGTCGAGAGAAATATATTTAATTAAATCAATATTTGATAGTCTATCTAATTCAGTACTACGTAAATGATAATTACAATCCATGTATAATCTAAATTCCTCGTTTGTTCTTTTTTGTGCGTTTCTTTCTATAAAATATACACGTCCATGGTCGCTAGAACCCTTAACATGACATTTCGTACAACTATAGTAACCCGCATCTCCTTTAACATTTAAAACAAATGATTTTGCTGGTGCATCTAAAATAAAGTATTTGATACAAAATTGAACTTTGACGTTATTTATTTCAATTCCGTTTTCATATAAAAGTAATGCCTCATCTACAAAAGGTCTCAAAAAAAGATTGCTACTTTCAGGCTTAAAATTACCATGATAAATTCCAATTATAAACAGGTCCATTATGAAGTACTGAACCTAATATTGGCCAAAATGTACTGGATGATGACTTGCAAACGGGAAGACCATCAATACCTACAGCTATATGTATACCATGCAGTTTGCATTTTTGTTTTATTGAATCATCATTTGATAATGTATTCATTATACTATTAAGTAATCCGAAGTGACAATATATACCAGGTTTTATATCTATTTTTTACCCGTATAAAAATTTAATTCCTTTATTGAATCTAAAAGACATGAAGGTCACTTATCATTTCCATTAAATACGAAATTTCATAACTTCAATATTGATATTACTTCTTTTAAGGCCATTAATAGATATAGAAGAAAAATCGGAAATTTCTTTTACTTTGGTTCTAAAAAGATTTCTACAGCTGGTGTCAATAGAATTTTTAACTCTGTCATGAAAGGGCACAATTTTGACTGTATTTTATATACTGATGGCTCCATAAATACTGTGGGACAAGCTGGCTTTGGGATCTTCTGCAACAATCCTGACGTCAATATATCACAATCGTATGCAAGAACTAAAATTATTCTAAACGTCGAGGCACAGGCTATCATTGAAGCGTTGAATATTATATCAAATCTAAAGAAGTGCAATGTTGCCATATGCTCAGATTCCATGAGTACTCTTTCCTCCTTAAGGAATCTATCTAGCAAAAGAAGACCTAACTTTCTAATTCTAAAAATCGCATATATCTTGGACAAACTTAAATCCATGAATATCAATATAACTCTTATTTGGACACCAGCTCATATAGGAATAACTGGGAACGAAGCAGCTGACCAATTAACTAAATCCGCTACTTACCTTGACAGGGACATACCTAACAAAATTATCTATGTTAATGATCTAATATCTACTATAAAAATGGACTTCACGAATCTATCTCATAAAATACTGAATAAGCAATTCAAATGGAAAGGAATCAGATATCGTATGAAGATAAATAATCTCGCAAATAGGCCATGGTTCTGCGAATTTAGATTTGTCAAACGTGATGTGATATCGTTGATGGCTAGGCTGAGGTCATACCACGTACGCACAAGCACCCATCTGAAAGATAAGGATATAATAAAAGAAGAAACATGTGAATGCGGAGCCGAGCAAAATAATATCAATCATATTTTATTTAAATGCTCCTTTTATTCTGACGAATCTGAGAAGCTAATTACTGAAATATACAAAGCTGGATATTCTACTCAAGTTGATATACACGAACTCTTCTTTAGTACTGAAAACATCAAACTTTATAAAGCCATCTCCAAGTTCCTAACTAGAATTGGCTACACTATTTGAGAATACACCCATTTGCATCTCATATATGACGGAAGCACTATTCGGAATAATGGCGTAGAGTCACTCACAGACTTGGTGTGCTCAGCCATATATTGAAACTGAAACTTCTTAATCTATTATACTTAGTATCTTTAACAATTAATTTCTCGCTTCGCAGTAGAGAGCGACGATTTTGTCAGAAGAAAAAGTTATTTCTTTAACAAAAACGCGTCGATTGAGCCTACTTTCATCGAAATCGGAGATGAAGTCGCTAAACTGGATAATTACTGATAATATTATATAACAATATTTGTTACAATATTACAGGTCTAAGCTGACTTTACACTGACTGTCTACGCTGGCTCTCTACACTGATTGCCTCTGTGCACTGATGTATCCAGGTTCACTGTGGCACATTTAAAAATGCATTGCAATTAAGAAGTAATAGATATAATATACAGGGTGTTCGGAAAGTACCGGGACGCCCGAATATCAGGAAAAATATAAGTTTTACAAAAAAATGTTTCAGACAAAAGTTGTGGCGTTTAAAAAGATGTATTTACTGATCACATCAGTTTGACCTTGGGTTGCGTAGCGAAGGTCAGGTCAAGGTCACATTAATTTTTTTAAATG